TTGTAAAATAAATTAATTTAATTCATAAATTTTTAAATTAAAAGATTGGTGGGATTTGTGGATAAAAATGTGGGAGAAGAATTCCTTCCCCTTGCTCCACCGGTACACCCCTCGGCAAAAAAAAAGCAACTTGTTTGTATTGAAAGCAAAATTGGCAGAACTCATTCTTGATTTAGCATGTTGACCGATCAAAATTTAACCTCTTGTGGGGTCAACTCCCACCAACTTGTAGTTTTGATCTCAATTGAGCTCCCATAGTGGATGCCCTTAGCAACTTTCGATTTTCCTATTTTCCAATATTTATGTTATACTACTTCCGTTCCCATTTTAACTTCCAAATGGGTTTGACACAAAGTTTAAGATAGTGGATATTGTGTGGTGGAGAATTGTGCAGTTGAGAGAGAAATGTGTAAGAAATGTTGTGAACCACAAATTCTTTACCAAAAAGGGAAAGTGGAAGTTTTAATTGGAACGAACGAACAAGGAAAGTTGGAAGTTTATTTAGAAACGGAGGGAGTATAAATTGAAGAATAATCTTATTACAAGTACTCCGTATAACTTACATACTCCCTCCGTCCCTTAAAACTTTACCAAGTTTGACCGGCACGAGGATTAATAAAGGGAAAATTGTGTGGTTGAGATTTGTGCAGAAAAGATAAAATTAACTGGAACCACAAATTCTTTTACTTAAAAGGGAAAGTGGCAAAGTTAGTGGAACATCCAAAAAAGGAAAGTTGACAAAATTTTAAGGGATGGAGGGAGTACTAGTTATATAATTTAAAATTACACCCGGGGCAATGACCAGTAAAACATCTAGGTAATTAGATGTAGGATCTTTGCGATTGGACTGAAATATTATAGACGTCTGTATTTTATTAATGTGTAAGTTTGGTCTAATTTGATCTAATCTCATTTAATTTAAATAGAGTCTGATATGACCCAGCCTAACAAATTATTAGAAAGATGTCTAATGTCCGCTTATATTAAATATAAACCGACAAACTATTACTACTTGGACTGAAAGTCTCATTTTTATAAGCATTTGTACTTTGGCAGGACGCGTGATGATCAGAATTCTTGGTCAAAGTTGGCTTTTTACTTGGACCGTAATTCGTCCCAAACCAGACCAGACCATATCAGATCAGACCAAATCAAACCAAACCAAATTATACCAGACCAGTTCAGACCAGACTAGACCAGACTAGACTTGGATAGTTATAAAAATACAAAGAAATCAGACCAGACCAGACTAGGGTTGGATTCGGTTCGGGCCACCCGGCCCGTGACCCGGCCCGGCCCGGCCCGGTACTGTGCAGGCCCAGGACCGGCCCAGTCGGGCGGTCCGGGACCGGGTGTGGACCCGAACCGGTGGGAATGGGCGGGGCGGGCACGGTGCCGGATAAATGTGACCCGGCCCGGCCGGGTCGGGCCCGGGCCCGGGTCCGGGCGGTCTGATTTTTTTTTAAAAAAAAAAATTGAATTGGGCTACTAGCCGTTGGGGGTGGGCTGGGGACAACCCAAACGGCTATATAGCCGTTGGGTGGGGTGCAGGGGGTCCAGGGGGTTGGGTGGTGGGGGTATAAAAACCTATAAATACTCCTAATCTTAAACATTTTTTCATATCTCTTCTCCAATTCTTCCTAAATCCTATTCTTAACTCTCTACTCTCTAATTCTCTTATTCTCCAATATATTATATTTATTATTTATATATCTACTTTATAGTTTATACTTAAGAAGTTAAGATGGAAAATCAAGATGCCATTATATTGTTTAATTTTGATAAGCAGAAGGACCCGAAGACCGGGATGTGGTACGCAATTTGCAAATGGTGCGAGAAAAATGTAGCATGGGGGTTTAAGGCGGATTCGGGATGGCAATCAAGCATATGAAGTCATGTGACAAAGCCAAAGGATCGGGAGGTGCGTGAAGTTCCGATTGATTACAATTTTCAAAATGTTTATCTCTTAAAGTTTGTTTTAATTTTCAAATGTAGTTCCTATTTCATTTCAAATAAATGCACTTGAAGTTTGTTTTTAATACTCGTATAAAACTATAAACTATAAAATATAAATTATAAAAAAAAAATTAACCGGCCCGGCCCGAACCGGACCCGACCCGTGACCCGGGCGGGTGGCCCGGCCCGAACCGGACCCGTCCAACCCTCGAGCCGGTCCCGGGCCCATGTCATACAACCCGGCGGCCCGACCCGGCCCGACCCGGCCCGATTCCATCAATAGACCAGACCAGACCAGCAAATTATAGTCCAAGTAAAAACATACTAAGACAAAAATGACATCGATCTCGATCAATTGGTTTCCTACATGGAAATCAGTCTAAACATAGTTAAGTACTATCGTATATAACTACGTAGTAAAATTACTTGGAAGGCAATACAAAGTTTAGAACAGTTGCCCTTAGCTTGTACGTAGTACATATCATTAAAGGTAACGTATGTAGATTAAGGGGTGCTTGGAATTAATTTGCTTTTGTTTTTTAAAGGAGAAATATAAGCAGAATTAGTTTACAGAACATGGAGCAGAAACAATTTTAAAAAGTAGATCCAAACACCACAAAATGTTTTTAATTAAATTAGTTTCTATCCCAATCAAACTAAACATAAACAAAACAAATTAGAACATATCAGAACAAATCTGACCACACTAGATTTCGATAGTTGTAAAGGCATACTCACTCTGTCCCTTAAAAATTTGCCAAGTTTGATCGGTGCGAAGATTAATAAAGTAAAAATTGTGTGGTTGAAGTTTGTGAATATGAGAGAGACTGAGAGAATTAAATGGAACCACAAATTCTTTACTTAAAATAGAAAGTGACAAAGTTAATGGGACATTCAAAAAAGGAAAGTTGACAAAGTTTTAAGGGACAAAGAGAATATATAATACTCCATCCATATCAGTTATCTGTCTCATTTGCCTTTTCACTTACTTAAAGATAATTACTCTAAAATTTATAAAAAGTAAGAGGGTTTTGATACTTTAGCGATACTGTAGCTTTTTTGGGGTAGATTTTTTCTAAAAAAAATGAGACAATTAATCTGATAAATTTTAAAAGAGAAATTAGGACAGATAAACTGAAACAGAGAATGTAGATTTCTATTAGCCCAGTTCAATGTTAATTTGATAAGACTAGATTATACTCCGGGGTACTACGTAATATACTTCGTATGTAGTATCACACTAGACTAGATCAGATTAAAGTAGAAAATTAAAATCCAATTAATAACATCCTTACAGAGACGAGACTATATATCTAATTAAGACGGACACGGAAATCTCAATTTTGTTCATTTGTTAAAAGTACTCAAACTGTCTTACTTTAAATTTCTTGCTTTTCCTCTAGTTTTTTGTCTTCTTGTCTACGTACTACTTCGTGGTAAAATACATGGTACATTCGGCTATACCGTGTGACTTCATACAACTATGTATTTTTGTAATTATTTGCAAAGTAGAGGCCAGTAATTACGGAAAAGGATATATGTTTTCTTTAATTTTCCTCCGTTGCTCCTTCCCAGACATTCTCGATCTACGGATTTGCTCTTCCAACTTCCAACTTTCTTTATCTTCTTCGTTGCTTCTTCTCATACTTTTCTTTTTCTTTTTTGCTTCTATTTTTTCTTGTTTTCTTTTCTTTTAATTTTGAACTTCAATTTTTTTTTACTTTAACGTTTCTTTTTCCTTTTTTTATTTTCCTTTAATTTTGAACTTTAATTTTTAAAATTTTAACATCTCTTTTTCATTTTTTGCTTCCATTTTTTATTTAAAGTCTTAAATTATGTCTATAATTAATTTCATTTAAGTTTGATATGTGAATCTAATGGATTATGATATGTTTACATGTGCAATCTTTTAAAATGAGCATAAAACGGTATCAAATGATCATACACAACTTACAAAATGAGTATCAAAATATTAAAAACTCATTAGTGTGTGCTATTGATTTTGGGAGTTATACTCAGTATTCATTTATGTATGTTCATTTTGTTTAGGCGTGTATTCATTTGAGTTTAATATAAAGCTCATTTGAGATCAATAGCAACAAGGATTCCCTAGTAAAGAATTAGACTCCTGTTGTAATATTATATTTTTTAAATATGCATGAATATGACATTTTAAAATGAGTATTGCATTAATATTAAATCGGTATACATAAATTACGAAATGAGTATTCAAAAAAATAAAAAAACCTCATTAAAAATGTATACTATGCTCAGAATTTCTTTTGTGTATGCCAATATCTGTACAAATACGTATAACTTAGGATTCTCCTAAGTATACTCAATTGGTACTCCTGTTACGCTCATTTTTTAAATGTCATATCATTGCATATTTTAAATGTATCATATTATATTTGCACATTGAAGTTCATAAGAGTTGATTATAAATATAATTTAACAAGTTTTATAAAAGAAAAAATAAGAAAAAGAAAGTGAATTCGAAAATACGATGCAGAGATCAGGATGCTCATTTTTAGACTTCTAGTGCTCAACAAAATATGTCTGATGCTCACTAAAACTGCATTAACGCTCATTTAACAGAAGACGCGAATTTCATTTAATTTACAAAAATGCCACCGGTTGTAAGTTGATTATCGTACAGCCTGTTGTACGGTATACGCTTCCCTAATTCGTAGAATATTTCTTCCGCCTAATGTATATCGAAAAGAAAATTAAATAGAGAAGTATTAAGATGTTTTTATTTGGACTGTTTTTAATTTCGAACAAGACTTAAATAGATCATATCAGATCACACCAGACTTAAACAAATTAAATTAGACCAGACTAGACCATACTTAAACAGACTAGACCAGACTTGACTTGCGTGGTTATAAAGAACACATAGACCAGACGTTTACCAGACCAGATCAGACTTAAAAACAAACCAAACGAGACCAACCCAACTTAAACTGATCAGACAAAACCAGCAAAATATGATCCAAGTAAAAATTAAACATCCTTACACAGTTACACCTAACTAATACGGAGTCATAATAAAAAATGGTTTAGATTTTCCTATTTAAGCACCATGTCAGTCAAGCCATTAATCATCACCCTTCTTCTTTAATTTCTTATTCCTACTAATGTCATATTGATACGCCACGCCGATCCATTTTCCCGATCATGGGGGCTTCCTACATGTCACGACTGGTACTGATCTTGAGCTTCTTAGCTGGCAACTCTGTTTACAAGAACACCCTTTCAGCCGCCGCAGACGGCCAAGCATTGTCTTACCTAGAGTTCGGCAAATCCTCCGGCAAGCTTTCCGACCAAGCTTGTGTCTTTTCCGCCGTTAAGGAAATTGTGGACGCCGCCATAAACGCGGAGGCTCGCATGGGCGCTTCCCTCATCCGTCTCCATTTCCACGACTGCTTTGTGGACGTACGTATTACTCTTTATTATTTACTGTCTATTTGCCCGAATTTGGGATCTCTAGATTTTCTATTACTTGAATCTCAATTAAAGCTAATTATAGCAAAACACTAAAATAGCCACTTTTAGTTTTCTAACAACGATAGTTATTTCTCAAGATAAAAACAACGATAGTTATAAACAAAAACGACGTAGTTCCATCCTTTTACATACGGAGTATACTATAAACAACGATCAAGGATTTAGAAGATGGAAAGCAAGAGAGGCAACCTTTTTTTTCGGAATGTAAACCATCAAAATCAGTGAGGCTAAAGGGTCAAATAGGTCCATGTACTCATATCAATAGCTTAATTGGGTACCCGAACTAAAAAACGGTCCAATCCAATCCTCCAACTCTTCAAAATCGTTCAATTGAAGGTAAACTCCCGGTACTCAATTGAGCTATTGATATGAGTACAAGGACCTATTTGACCCTTTAGCCTTTGAAAAAACGAAAAAATTGAACGATTTTGAAGAGTTGGAGGATTGGATTGGACCTTTTTTTAATTCGGGTACCCAATTGAGCTATTGATATGAGTACAGGGACCTATTTGACCCTTTAGCCAAATGAGTGGGTAAATGATGTGGAATATTTACCATTGTTTTATTAATATAAAAAGAGTACAAATGAAGTGGGGGACTAGGCCAAAACCACTTCTTCTTAGAGGCATCCCTCTTAAAATACATGCTATCAAATACTCCCTCCAGTCCCAAATGAAATTCACACTTTGACTTCACAAAAATTAAGGAAATAAATTTGACTTTACTGTAGAATACACTTTTGTGACACTGTTTGACACTGTTTGGCACTATTTGGCATTGTTTTGCACTGTTTTGATGTAGATAATTTGTCAAATAAGTAAGAGATAAGAAGTGTGAAATTTATTTTGAACCTAACAAAAAAAGGAAAGTGTAAATTTTATTTGGGACCGAAAGGAGTAATAGGAATTGGGGGGCTAGGCTTGACCCAATTCTGGAAGTAAAGGATACATGAAAGCACCGAAAATAAAAGATGATCTGCATTTAAGATTTATGTAAATATTTATAAGTATTTTCTCAATTTTACAAGGGAAAATGAACACAAATATTGTTTATAGTCCTTTAAATTTTGTGAGTGTGGCATACTTCATTTGTTCCCATATAATGGTCTCATTTTCTCATTTTTGGATATCTTATTATTATTATTATTATCTCATATCATAGTTGTCACTACCACCGTTTTTATTATAACTTCCAAATAGGTTTGACACACAATTTAAGATAGTATGTATTGTGTGGTGGAGAGTTGTGCAGAGAAGAGAGAAATGTGTAAGACATGTTGCGAACCACAAATTCTTTATCAAAAAGGGAAAATGAAAGTTTTAATCGAAATGAATGAAAAAGGAAAGTTGGATGTAGGGATGTTAAAAAAAATCCGACCCGCAATGACCCGCAATGACCCGCCCCTGGCCCGAGACATTTGGGGCGGGTCCGCACCGCCCCGTCTTGCAAATGGGGTGGGTCCGTCCCGCCCCGCCTATACAATGGGGTGGGTCCGGGTATTAGAATTGACCCGTGCCGCCCCGACCCGCCCCGCCCGACCCGCTGAATATATAAGTATACATACTTTTTCTTAAATTATACTATAAATATACTTCAACATACATATGTATATGTGTATATACAATAAATCATAAATTCTTTGATCTTATAATATATGAATACAGAGTATATATTATAATGAGATGCACGACGGATTATCAATGTCTTCTTTATATATAGAATTTTAATACATATATTCAATTATTAATATAACTAATAAGACTAACTATTCAAGTTTGAGTAATTTTTCCTTAATTTTTGAAATTTTAAGTGTATCATGAATTTGATTTAATATATTGATTTTTAATTATTATTTAGAGATAAACATTATGTAGATTCAATTGGTAACAACTTCCCACAAAAAAAAAATACATACTAGCTAATTAGGTTGCGGCGGGGCGGGGCGGACGGACCCGCCCCGCCCCACATGGGGCGGATCATGGGTCAACAAATTTGGACCCGTACAGGTCACGGGGCGGGTCTGAGTTTTGCAATACCCACCCCGCCCCGACCCATTGTCATGCCTAGTTGGATGTTATAATAGAAAAAATGTATGATTACGAAATACAATATACTTATTTTATGTGGATTAACAAAATTTTGTAATAATTTGATAAAAAAAATGTAAATTCATTTATATTTTGATTAGTTAAAGATAAAATAAGTAAAATCACAAATAAAGTTTTAGTATTTTGGTGTAAAAGAGAAAAGAATTGAAGAAAATAAAAATAAAGAGAAAGAAAGTACTAACCCGGAGAAAAAAAGAGAGATGACTTCCTTAATATTGGACATTTGGACATTTGGACTATTGGAAGTATGGGGAGAGCAAAAAGACGGCACCGTATTAGAACCGACATATCATGTCCATGGTATGCGACTGCACGATATAATTTGTGATAAAAATTGTACATGTGTGTATATCCTTACACATTATTGCACCATCGTCGTATATAATTTATTACAATGTGTTTATAACTTACGGAGTACTTTTGAAGAGACGAATAATAATAGTCCATCTGTTTTATAATTTTATTCTCCATTTCCTGTTATAGATGTTATTGGATATTGAAAGGTAAAAGTATATCTAACAATGAGCTCGTTGAATTATACTCGTATCTAACTTTCATCAATTATACATAAATATATACTACCTCTGTCCCAAAACGAGATGCAAATTTGACTTTTCTTAGTCAAACAGTCTCGTTTTGTTCACTTACTTTGGATGTCAAATTTTAATCATGTTCTAATTTGGAATTTATAACTTTGAAGATATTTTAATGTAGTTTATAAATATGCAAATTTTAATTATTAAAAATTGAATTAATTATCCATACAGAGGGTTGACTTTTATTATTGATTGACCAAAAAATATTGACTTTGCAAAACAAATTGGGACGGAGGGAGTATATATATATATATATATATATATATATATATATATATATATATATGTGTGTGTGTGTGTGTGTGTGTGTGTGTGTGTATTGACGGTATAAAAATGATATAAAAATGTTTTTTTATTAAAATACTATTATAAAGTATAAAATTATAAAAGTTTTACATAAATATGTTCTCTGAATAATTGGTAAAATTTACTATCTTGGACAGGAAAAGTAAAAAATGACTATTTAGAGGGTGGTAAAAGTAAAAAAATTATTAGACATAACAACTCAACTTGCAAACATAATTATTTCAGGAAATGATCAAGGTCCAAAATACATACTACGTATTTAATTTAATTTACTGGAGGGGTATAAAGCAATAAAGGATGGTACAGGACCTACGACTGAACTACCTAACAAAGGATGTGTTGAACCATTTAGTGCATGTCACACTCGAGTTTACTTTTCTCATTTCAGCAGTACCATGCCAGCTATTTATAATTGAAAGGGTAAATTTTACATTTAATGTTTCTGCTTTTAGAATATGAGTATTAAGACCACAACTATTTAGCATGTTATTCCCAACATTTGCAATGTCAATAATTTTTGTGTAAAATGCCAAAGTAAGGAGTTTATAGGAGTGATTCTCCTTTTTTAAAAGCAAAATTAGTATCGGTTTTTTCAGAGACCCCCAGAAATAAATTGTTTGGAGGAGTGATTTGGAACACCCAAAAGTACTTCTGCACTCTCACACAAACGTTCCAATATGTACTTCTGGTCTTTGAAGCATTAGAAACAGTTTTCAAAATCAGATTCAAACACCCTCAAGTCATATCGGTGTCATTATACTATGAGCTCGTTTGTTAGTTTAAACGTTAACTTTTTACACGCCAAATGAATGCATGCAAAGATGCTGCAGTGCTTTATAAAAAACATTGTTTGGTTAGATATTTAATTTATTTTTAATTTGCACTCAAAGAAGCTGCAGTGATTTATAAAAAACATGCAAATTATTTTACCACCCTCGCCCATGTAAAATACTTTACATAGTACAATGCGATATATTTTTAAAAAGTGTCATACAATTTACATTAAATAGTCAAATCAAACAGTGTAAATATTTTACGTCCTTACACTTCGCATGTAATTATTTTACATCTTACCAAACGCCCCCTATGTATTAAAGTAAAGATATGCAATATTCTAGTAGGATGGAGATGGGAAAGAAATACAGTGTACATGTTGAGCCATTGTGTGACCTCGGAACAAATAATAATGAAATTCACCTCAAGTTGAAATTTATGATATTCTTGTTAAAGTGACTGGATTCTGATTCTGCTGATATATTTTATTATATTGAAAATGTATTTTATAAATAAAATAAATAAAAATTTATTTGAAAAAGTAGCTAAAATTGTCTTTTATAGTAACTTCGATTAATTTAATCAGAAAAGTAACAGCAGTCTTACTTATTATGATTATTACACATCTCAAACAATGAAATTAAAAATTATTTATTTGCATTATTTTATTTGTATTTTTTCGATATTGCTGGATCAAGTAATTAAAAAAGATGTATATTCAGGGATGTGACGGTGGGATTCTGCTGAACGACACCGCAAACTTCACGGGGGAACAGGGTGCAGCGCCGAACAGTGATTCGGTGAGAGGGTTCAGCGTGATCGAGCAAGCCAAACAGAATGCTAAAACTAAGTGCTCCGACACACCCGTTTCTTGTGCCGATGTCTTGGCTCTTGCAGCTCGCGACTCCTATGCCAAAGTAAATCTACTTGATCCATCTCCTTTTTAAGTTTTTCTCACCCAAGTTTTATTTATCTCCCTAATTAATTGACTTTTAACTTCATAGTGAGTTAAAAGTACTATTTCCATTCGACAATTATGTACAGAACTAACTGGCGTACTTGTTTCATACATTTTGTCTATAACGCAGGTAAATAGGCAATTTGTAATACAAAATTGGGTTTCTCATATTTTTGGATGAATTCTCTATGATACAGACGCAATGTATGATCGTGTTAAAAAACGTGTATAAATGACTTTTCCCATAAAATAGTTCACGCATTGACTTGGATTGGAGTTTAAGAAAGTAAGAATAAAGTGGTAATGTATGGTTGTGGTTGAGTAAGAAAAAGGTAAATGAATGGTAGCCACAAAAAACTTTCCAAAAAGGGAAATGAGAACTATTTTTTGGGACGTCCCAAAAAGAAAATCGAGAACTATTTTCCAGGACGAAAGGAGTACTTTATAATACGGACTATGGAGTATACACCACCTTTGTCACATGTAAATGTTCCGGTCCACTACTTTTCGAACACCTTAAATCGTTATTAATTTTTTACATTATATCCATCTTTTATCGAAATTTTCTTTTGTTAATAAATCCTAAAAAATGATCTTGTTCTTAATATGTAAATTTTATTAACTAAAAAATAATCTTACTATTGACAGTCATCCGTTAATTTCATATAGTTAGTCAAATATCATAAATCGAACTAGAATGAGAAAACTGTTAATTTGATCCTTGTACTTTCATGAAAAAAGTCAATTAGATCTTTGTACTTTAAAAAAGATCAATCAGATCCCCGAACTTTGTAAAAACATTCAATTGAGATCATTTGCAGGTTACTTGTCTTGCCAGCAGGTCACCCGCTGATGTGACCCACATGTGGCAGCCCAATCAGCAATAATTTTGCTAACGTGGCACACATGTGGAAGTTCAATTAGCCATTTGGTTATGACGTGGGGCACACGTGGACTACCATGTGTGCACCACGTCAGCGGGTAACCCGCTGACATGACAAGTAACCTGCAAATGTACTCAATTGAACGTTTTTACAAAATTCAGGGATTTGATTGATTTTTTAAAAGTACGAGAACCTGACTTTTTCATGAAAATATGAAGACCAAATTGATAGTTTTTCCAGAATTTTTGGAATACTTTTGTGGGTCCTAATTTTTGGTGTATTGGCTGTGGTGTAACAGTTTACAAATCAAACCTACAATGTAACCTTAGGTAGGCGTGATGCACGGACGGCGAATTTAACCGGAGCAAACACTCAACTTCCGGCACCGTTCGACAACCTCACCGTCCAAATCCAGAAGTTTGCGGATAAAAACTTCACCCAGAGAGAAATGGTGGCCCTGGCCGGAGCACACACGATTGGAGTTTCCCGGTGTGTGCTTTTGTGCCAGAGCGGTAATCTCAACCCCAACAGAACCGCCACCCTACAATGCAACTGCACCGCCACCGGAACCGCCGTGGTTGGCCTGGACCCCACACCCACAACCTTCGACAGCAGATACTATGAGCAGTTAGGCAGAGGTCAAGGGCTTCTGTTTTCTGACTCAGAGCTGATGCGCAGCAACACAACTGTCTCCGCTGTGACCAGGTACAGAGATGTGACTAGTGCATTCCTCACCGACTTCGCCGCCGCCATGGTCAAGATGAGCAACTTGCCGCGCTCCTCCGCCGGTCAGTTCGAAATTCGCGACGTTTGCAGCCGTGTCAACACCAAATCTGTTGAGTCTATGTAGATGGGTTCAATCTTTTCACCATGCGTTTCCTCGTTTTGTCATTGATTTCCACTGAATGTCAGTTTTTAAATTTTAATGTGAAATAAGGATTTGGATGTGAAAAAATGATAAAAAATGTTACCCGTACACGTTGAGATTATAGGCATGTTTATATGTCTATAATCATTTGATATAGACATATTGATAGAAAAAGTCAAAACGATTAAGGTTCACACACAATATCCTTCGATAGCTAAAATAGAAATCAATTGTCTATGCACTAACAAAAACACTTGCCGTATAAACAAGTGTAAGCGGACAAATGCAAATAGCATTTTTAAATAATGATACCCTTTCCATTTCAAAGTTTAGACTAGAGTCCGATGTGGGTGGAGCTCGAGTTGGGCTTAGATAGAATCATACGGGGTATTTGATAAATAAGAGTTGAGTTCGAGTTCAAATCAAGTAGAAAAGTATATTACACGATTTGAATTTAAGTTATCTCCGTGTTTTATTTATATTATAATAAGGGAAAAATAATTAAAACACCACAAATTTTGAAGGTGTGTGAGGTAAACACCTCAAACTTGCATAGTTAATTTAAATACCCCAAACTTTATATAAATTGTTTTTTAGCATCATGCTCATGTATTATTTCTTTCAAAAAAGTAAATTATGGTGGTAATCGCATAATTTAAAATAGCAAATTAAAAGTGTTGCAATTATATAGATTAGGGGTAATATTATTTATTTCACAATGGAAGTTTAGAACGTTAATTGTGTCTTCATGAATGCTAGTATATTTTTAATTACGCAATTAACACCCCAAATTTACATTTTTGAAAGAACTAATAATTGACTATGGTGCTAAAATAACTGTACATAAATTTGGGATATTTAAATTACATATGCAAGTTTGAGGAGTTTATCTCATACCCCAAAAAAGTTTGGGATACTTTAATTATTTTTCCCTTATAATAATGGTATACTTTTTGCATTTGATTTGTTATTAGGTTTGAACACATATATGCAATAATCAGTATTTCTTTAAACAATTATTTAATGTTTTAAAAGTCTCCAAATAGATTTCGTTTAGAAATTATGACCCTTTTCATTGTCTATGATTTATCTAAACCTAAGATGAATTAAGCCGAATTAATCCTGCTTAATTATGCATAACACATCGGCGTTGCCTAAAGTACTAATTAACATGTGAATCCCTTGAGTAATTTTAATTAGTAGAAGATGTGTATAAATATATGTATGAATCCATGATATATGGATATAAAAAATTAGCGCCCAAATGCATGAATTTAAAAAATAAATATTAACTCATAATTGAGTATAAATCAAGTTTGAATCCAGTCTAGCTAAACTTGAGTAAGAACCTAGTACGCCTCAAGTAACTTGCAAGCTACAATTCAAAAGGTTAAGTTAAAGGTTTTTTACAAAAGAACCTTTAATCCACTAAACTTTCCACTCGAAACCCAAAGGAAGTTGTTGGGTCTTCGAAATTGAAGGAATAAATCTTAACAACACCGTTTTGCACTGTTTCGCACTATTTTGTACTGTATTGATATAGATTTGTTTACCAAATACTCTCTTCGTCCCGCTAGAAGGTTCCCGTGAACGGTTTACGATGCTTGACTGACGATAAAGCAATTTAATCCTTGCTCACACTGATTATTTTTAGTAAATAAAACTAACATATTCAGAAACTACATTAAAATTGCTACAAAGCCTGATAAAAAAATGTAAATTTGATTTATAAAGTAAAGGATTAAAAATGATTTAAGTTGACCATGAGAATAGTGGATGAGAACCTTCTAATGGGACGGAGGTAGTAAGAAAGTGTAACTTAGTTTTGAAACATTCAAAAAAGGAAAGTGTGTCTTTCATTTTGAAACTGAGGGAGCATCAATATGTCAAAAATTTCGAATTCATTTTTCTTGCGATTTTTCATTTGAGAATATCTAAAATGACCACAGAAATGCACAAATTACACCGTACAACCGGTTATACCGTGTGCAAGGTACAACCGAGTTTTTGTGTAATTAAATTCAATTTAGAGCCTGAAAGCAGAGAGAATATATTTTGCATTTGTCGTTCGTCGATCCAGAGAAGACGAAGCCTCTATTGACAACAACCGAAGAGATCTTCTGCTCCAACGAAGGTGGAGTCTCCATTGACGAAAACAATCTAAACCTCTGCTCCACCAAATACATAGCCTTCCTCTGCTCCATCTTCCATGCCAGGCCTTCCGAATGGCAGAGGAGCACGATTAAATAGGTCAAGCAGAAGCATATAGTTGGTATCACTTACCATAACAAGAAGACACGCAGAGGCTTGCAAAGGAAAGGCAATTAACCGTGAATGGAGCAACCATAACAAAGTGGGCCAATACCAACCGTAAATTATACCGTGGGATCGGCCCACCTTCCGCATGGTGTGCCGATCCCACTTTTAGGAAAGTTACGTTGCTTTCCTTTTCCCACTTCCTTTGTCTCCAATTTTGTTATTTCCTTTTCCTTTGCTTTTCTTTTTTTTTCTTTTGTTCAATTCTTTTCTTTTTCCATCAAATTAAAATACTAAAAATTTAATTGCAATCCTACTTTCTTTATCTTCATCTTAAATTATAATTGAATCTATTTTTTATTCTTTATCAATACATAATAATTCATCTAAAAAAATTCTTTATCTTCATGTTCATAATTTTTTTTCTATAATATATTTCTTTATCTCTTTATAAAAAAAATATATTTCTTATCTCTTTGATATGTTTTTTAGTTTTTTTAAGACATAAAATTTGTTTTTTTCGATTTAAATTTCATAAAATATGAATTATATTACGTTTTTCATATGTGTGAGTTATGTTTATAGCCAATTTATGGAATTACATGTGATATTATATGAAGTTACATCTTTTTACAGGCGAATTACATCTTGTTTTTCATGAGTTACATCTTCTTATACACGAGTTACATTTATACTCGTCTCAACAAGCTATATTTTGCATACACCTAATTTAGATTTTTTAACATGAGTTACATGTTTTCATAACACGAGTTACATCACGAAATAAATCCATCCATTAAAACCAAAAAATAATTTTTTTTGCAAACAAAAATGTTTTTTTTGGAAAAAAATGATTTTTCGGCAAAAAAAATTAATATTTGTGGCAAAAAATATTATTTTTCTTTGAAACATTTTTATGACCGTAATACAAAAAACAAAACATACTAACTATTTACGTTAAAAAAATTTAAGCAATTAGACTTCATCTTTTCATTGTTTACATTTGATAGTATATGAAGTTACATCTTCTTATGCGTAGGTTACATCTTTTTATGTGTGAGTTACATCTTCCTTTACACGAGTTACATTTGGACTTACCTTAACAAGTTACATTTTACATTGACCTAAGTTAGATTTTTCATCAACGTGAGTTACATTTTTCTATAACATAAGTTACATCGCAACATAAAGCTCTACTATTGAAACAAAAAAATCATTTTTTGCCAAACAAGGCAAAAAATGATTTCTTTAGCAAAAAAGTGATTTAAAAAAAATATATTTTTTGGCAGAACATATTCACTATTTAAGTAAACACATGCTATTGAAACAAAAAAACGAGTTTTTTGCAAGGGAAAAAATGGCGGAAAAATGATTTTTTTGCAAAAAAATGATTTTTTGGCAAAAAAAAAACTGATTTTAAGGGAAAAAATTATTTATGGTCTTAATATTAAAAACAAAACATATTCACTATTTACGTAAAGTAATTGAGCAATTAGACTCCTTGTTTCAAGGAAATCAATGTTTTATTTCTTATAGTTCGTATTAGACAAGTTACATTTGGACTTGCATGCAGTTACATTTCTGATCAGCGTGAGTTACATTTCTTTACACGCGAGTTACATTACTCTGCTACTGGACACTGGAAAAACAAAAAATAAGTTACTGTTCACACGTGAACAGTAACACGCGTATTTTTGTCTGTGGGAGCAGCATGCTCACGGTGGGCTGCTCCCACGGTATAACAACTGAATACCAACACATACTATCGTTTCAAGTCTACTCTATCTCATATGCTTTAGTTTTATAATTAAAAAAATACATTAACAAAAACCTAAATTAATACTATGTAATAAAAACAAAAAGTGATTAAGTACTATGTAAAAAAACAGTGTGAATGCAAAATAGAGAATTTTGTCTTAAATAGGACGAAATTGTTGTTGAAATTCCAAAATAGGAGTAGGTGTATTTTTATTCCCTAAATAGGACTTTTGTTCTAAAATTGTCCTTCTCCTATTTTCTTCACCCACGCACAACAGCAATCGGCTCTCATCGTCTTCACTCACCCCTTCTCCGCCCTTTCTTCTATTTTCTTCACTCACTCACAACAGCCATCGGCTAATCATCTTCTTCGCTCACCCCTTTCTCCATCCTGCTCACATCTACTCCGACCTCCTCCTCATCTTCTCCCATCCACTCATAATCTCTCTCAGATAAGGTTGCACAACAGCGAGCTTCTAGGTGCGGTGAGAGGTGGCGATCCTTTCTTCTCCAACCATCATCTCCAGCCTGCAGTGAAGAGTTTTCTGGTGCAATGAGTAGCGGCGATGGCCAACAATAGAGCTTCAACAAGTAGTGAGTTCATATTTGATGGTTAGGTAAAGTATCTTGTTGTTCTCACAATCCTTCTTTCTCCTCGGCCTTGTTTTCTCTAGATATGCTTTCCCCGTCTTCTTTTTCGTGTTAGTTGCAAAAAATTTGAGATGCTTCTCTGGATGGTTCTTTGTTTCGCGAAAAAATGGCAAGTTATACTCTGAGAATGTCATCAAAATGGCATTTTTTTCTCTTCCAAATGCCATATTTTTCTTTGAAAATGCCATTAAGATGGCATTCTCGTTTCATGTTGACATTCTAATTAATAATAATGTTGGCATCAACGTCGATGGACTGGCATGCTCTCCGCTGGGCTGGTAGGCAGGCTCTAGGTTGTGGACTTGTATCCACGGATCCAAATTCGGGGCTTGGGTCAATTACGCTTTGGGTCTAGTCCCATAACTCCCTCACTTCATATAAATCAATCTTGCCCCAAAGTTATTTTGATCACCCTCATGTCCTTACTTTAAAAAAAGACTTATCTAAAAATAATAATATCATTCGTGCCAAATAGTGATATATTACCATATGCAATTCATGAAACGATACATGCATCATTTTAACTTTACATGGTGTCAAAAAAATCATTTTAACTTTACATAAGAGTAGATCCAATTGAAAATTTTAAATTGTTCAATTTGACTACCATCGTTTTTTAAATAGCTTAGGAGTTTGTATAAAAGAGTGTTTGCAGTTTCTTCTGCTTTTAAGGAAAATGTGATTTCTAAAAGTAAAAATTTGAGTGTTTGGTAAAAAATTACTTTTTGTGTAACTACTGTTTTACCTGGGCGTTGCCCCGATCGAATGTTGTGAATGTTTGAATACTTTGTATGATATATTTTATAGAATATAAATTATTCGTCACTTTACTTCAAACAAACGTTCACTAATTGTGGATAGTAATTTAATTAAAGATAATATATTAAAAAGTGATATTGTAATGTAACACTACACACACCAAACATCACAGTGTTAAGTTTTGGGAAACCTCCTTATAAACATCACAGTCTTGATGAAGAAATTTGCTTCTTTTGAAAGTATGAACCTAAGATGTCTTTACTCATTATTCTTGGTATTGCAATGCACAATTGGTCATTAATGAAACTTCTGTCTGAATGTATAAATTAAACTTTATGTGATAACGTTTAGCCTTAACTTTTATTGATTGTCATTGCAAAGTTTACCATTAAAAGAAATCGCTTTCTTTGGAAATTGAACAAAGTTGTCATATGGTGAAAATGAAATTCTCAATATGTAAACTTTATCATTCATAG